GGTCGTTGCCGTTAGCCGGGGACCCCCTGACCCGTCACGATACTTGAGGTCCAGAAGGTCGAACCCTTGCAGAGCTAGACGTTCCGGTTGCCGTAATACGAAGCTGGGGTATTAGCAACGCTGTGAATAGGAGTGTAGCTTTTGCACTACACTTGCACTATTTGTTCGAGACCCTGAATAGCTTGGGACCTTGCGAAACGTAATAGACGAATGTGCCGGTGTTGGGGCGTGGAGGATCGTTCCTGGATATGTGAATATCGACGTTGCAACTTTGATGGAGTTAAGGCTGTTGAGATCTAACTAAAGGATCCAGGAACGCTTTGTTCCTGGCAGTAGATCATGCACTAGATATATTCTTAATTGCTCGTATTCTACATCGCATCTTCTTTGTACGCCTGAATGTTGATAATGATGTGTGACAGATGCCACTGGTCATCAAGCCAAGGGATGTGATGCTTCGGGCAGTCCTACATAGGATCTTACAAAGTCCACAGTCGAGTGCCGGTTTTCCGCATGTTAAAAAAAAACAAATGTTTCTATTCCGAATAGAGACAGACCCTCCCATTCAATAGTGCGTGTGGTGGGAGATGGGTATGTGAATTGCGGAATGTCACCAGCGACGGTTCATTGTACAGCTCGTAAAAGCAACCAACTAGGGACTTTAAGGGTCGATATCACGGAAGTATTTGCTTTTGATAAACCAATCTATCGTTAACAGTCTCTAAAATCTCTGCGAAACGTAACTATTGTAACCTCTTATCGAACATGGGAATGCATCGCATGGAACGGCCGGAACTCGGCAGGTTGAGTGAGCTCGTCTTCACGAGCGTATGTAAGGAATGCAAAGAACAAACAGGCAATCATTGCTCTCGTATACTCAGTGTCTCAAGTCCGAATGAGCAAGTTTGCTCACCATTGTCCACTCAAGGAATCTACTGTGGTCTACAGGAAGTCCCAATTCCATGTTTCATCTAGATCCATCAAGGCATCCCAATCCACCCCATCAGCGGTTCCATCAGAGGATGAGTTTCCGAAATTTTGGCCTTGAGCAAAGTTCATATCGCCTCCTGCTTCAACCCATGAAGGAAGATCATCAGTGGCTGTACCCAGACTCGTTGACAGACGTTCCACGGAGAGAGCCCCATTGTCTGCTGGTGGAGATATATGTAGAGACGAGTCAAATGTCGAAGTATCAATTAAAGGATGATTAACAGGGATCTTGTTTGACAGGTTTTCAGCGTTGTTGAGCATCTGCTGGACATTAGAGTTCACGCGGTCTCCCTTCTCTCGGGTATGTTGGGCATTTGCTCCTTGACGCTTGAGCTCCTTTTCACGATGCTGTTCAGCTTCCGAGAACAGCTGCATGAGAGACCTCCACAGTGATCCAGTCTTCATTTCTTCTGTGACCTCTTCTTTCAAAGCTGTAGTCGCGCCCCATGCTTCTTCTAGTTCTCGTGTCCAAGGGAGTCGAGATGCTTGACGAAGGTAGACACCCATTGCATGCCAAGGCACTTGTCCTTGTAACTGCCAGCGCCATTTTATCCACGCAGGCTCTGATTTGAGAGACTGGACCGCTTTGATCACTGTGATAGACGGGTTCAATAGCTCATCTGCTGCAGGGAGAGTCTTGGATCGTCGTCGAATAACTAGTTCAACTTTGGCAAAGAACAGAGTTGTCATCGTCCTGATGAAGGAGTCCCATGGTTGGTTGGGCCGTAGATGCTGGAAGTAAGTCTTCTCGACCTTTTGTCTCAGGGCGTTGAAGAGGCCGAGGCGGGTTTCAAGAGAGTCGGTTGTATCGGCGCGGATGGCTTGTGTGAGATACCACAGCTCGCAGCGGATGAGACAGAGTGTCACGCCTGTTGACCCTTGATTAGGATTTGGGATCTGAGTGGTCCGGCTGTCTAGATCGATATCGTTTGAGTTTGTAGGGAGACCTGTGCTAAATGATGCTGGGGTGATCGACAGGTCTTGAGCGTCAGCCCGTCGACTACTAGAATCGATGAAGCAGATGTGCCACCAGAGCCGACGTCGGATCTCCCTCTCGAGCTGATTGTACTGATATGGCTCTCCCTCGCGATGAAGTCCTACTGACTTTGCTAGCCTGAGGAGCAAACCTGTCAATGGCCATACCTTATCTTGAGCCCCAATGTTTGGTAGCAGCGATAAGTATATGACCAGGGCTTGAAGGACAGTGATGTCTTTTGCAGTCAGAAAGTTGGCACGAGCAAGTGCCTGTTCAGTACCGAATTGATACCGCTGCAGCAGTTGTTCTCTAGATGTGTTGAAGTTCAACGAGACTGTCTCTTCGTCCATAGACGCAATGGCCGCTAAGCATATCGCAAACAACAGGGCTTCTACATTGGGACCCCAAGAGCTAAAGCTGCCCTTTAATTGTTTGACAATATTTTCAATTGTTGGAGTATGAAGGACCTTGATGAAAGGGTCAACATTCTCGATATATGTCTGCCATATGAAGAGCATCTGAGATGGCATGGGGTTGAGCCCATCTAACGCTTTGGCGAAGTCTGCGCTGCCAAAGACAAAGCCAAGATGGCTTAGAGGAGCCGGAGCCCCGTTAGTGGTAGGTTCTTTCATGATCGAGTTACTTGACGATTCAGAGGTATCTGCAACGTCGTGTACAGCTTGTAGTATATTGTCGACCTGTCACTTGTTAGGTAGTGTTTAGATCATCGCTAGGGTGTTGGGTACCAACCTCGCTGCAAAATACTGTCCAAAAGCGGTTTCCAACGTGAAGAGTACCGTCCTTGTCAATAACAAGCCTCCCAAAGTCCTCATCAAACTCCGAAGTCTGATGATCTAGACTGCCAGATGACGTAGCCCAAGAAGACTCTGTAGGCTCCTTATCCACTGTTATCTGACCCATAGTCTTGGCCCCATTTTCATCCTCAACCTGCGCCGCGAGTTCAGTAACGACTGACTCGAGACGACGAAGGCGACTGAGCAATTCAGATTGTTTCTGAGCTGGAGTCTTGGCATCGCGAGTTCGTCTTGGTATACGACCTGTCACGGGGAAATGACAGTCGATGTTGGTTTTTATACAGTTATTGCATGGGTCTTTTCTGTCGCAGCGGATCTTGCGGCGACGACAGGTTACACAGCTCCAGATTTTGAGGCTGGGTGTGACCTCATGATGGGATGTTGATGTTGATACGGATCGGTCCATCGGGGGTTATAAGCTCCGATAGAGACACAGAGGTATAGGGTGGTGACGGGTAACGGGTAGATATTTGGATAACAGGAGACGGAAACAATGAATTCGAGGTAATTAAGGTTCAATTGATAGAATTGATTGCATATACTTTGCTCACTGAAGCTGTTGATGAGGGGAGCCGAAGGATCGGGGGATCGTCATCGTTCTCGGACACGGCGTTCGGTCGTGATCCCTGTCACCGGAGCATACACCACTGAGTGCGAGGGACGGAGAGCACTAACAGAGATACAAAGATTTACAAGTGGTTTGTAGCTGAACAAATGTACCTCTAGGTAAACATTCTCAACACCAACATACGTCCATCACCGACACCGAGCATCTGTATGTTTGTATAAATGACACTCCAGTACTACATAGTAAAGATAATCGACTAAAATACTCTACTCTCCTTCGCCTCCATATAATTTGAACAGCATCACCAACCATCATGACAAAAACCGTAGTCATTCTAGGTGCAGGCTGGGCTGGTCTTCCACTCGCCCACAAGCTTCTCAAACACACCCTTCCCAAAGTTCCTGGCCTCAAAGTCATTCTTGTCTCCCCGAACAGTCATTTTTTCTGGAATGTTGCCGCGACTCGTGGAATAATACCGGACGCCATCCCAGATGAGCAGCTCTTTTTACCAATCAAGCCGGGCTTCGATCAATACCCCTCTGAGAACTTTGAGTTCCTCCTTGGGAAAGCAGATGGACTCGATGCAGCATCACGTACTGTTCATGTAGTCTCTAATGAGGATACCAGGCGCGAGATTACGTTTGATGAGCTGGTCATTGCGACAGGGTCTCGACTGGCTAGTGATCTTCCACTAAAGCCTGTTGGAACACATCAAGAGACCATCTCAGCATGGAAGCAATTGCAAACCCAAGTCGGAGGCTCAAAGTCAATAGTAATCGCGGGCGGTGGTGCTACTGGAACTGAAGTTGCTGGCGAGTTGGCCGCAAGATACGGCTCTTCCAAGAGCATCACCCTTGTTATTAGTGGTGAACAACCATTGGAAGGAGCCATTGATTCAGTTCGCGCATCAATCTCAAGGGATCTCGAGACCCTTGGGGTCAAACTAATCTACAATAAGCGCGTCACCGAAGCAAAGAAGAGTGAAAGGGGCCAAGGGACAGAAGTGCACTTGTCCAATGGAAGCACCCTCACAACAGATCTCTATCTACCTCTGTATGGCATCAAACTCAACACCTCATTTGTACCACCATCATTCTTAGACTCTGGAGGAAGCATGAAGCTTGATGAAAAGATGAGAGTCAGCGGGACAAAGAATATCTGGGGCATTGGCGACGTAGGCAACATTGACCCCAAACAATTGACCATCACGGACAATCAGATCATTCACTTGGCAACAGCTCTAGATGCGACTTTGACAGGGAAGGGGGATATCAAGCCGTATCAGCCTGCGACTAAGAAGATGATATTCGTGTCACTGGGTAAGAAGTATGCGACGGGTCAGATTGGGAACTGGAAGCTGTTCTCATTCATGGTATCGTATGTCAAGGGGAGGAAATTGTTTGTTGATACAGCTGAGGGTTACGTGGGAGGGAAGCACCTGAGGCATGCAGCCATGTAGTATTCTCTGATCCGCTTTCTTTGTACTCTATCCCATCTGTTCTAACCCCATTCATAGCAATATTTCATTCTGTCAATCTGTTTCGTGCCGTGGCCCCGTTCCTCGTATTCAGTACAGCACTTATCCAAGTCTAGCTAACGAAAGCATTAGTCTCAGAACTATTGAAACATAATATCCATCCACTGCATTCCCTTACAGACTGTATTTCCAACTCTCTGCTGTGTCAAAGTACGACAAGAAGAAGTTCGGACCTAGTGTATGAACAGTGTCATTGGTCCTCAGTCCTTCAACAAGTTCCTCAGAGCAACCTTTCTCAGGGGTTTCGCCGGAAAGTCTACTCTTGATCCAGTCCATCCATTTCATTTGGCTAGCCTGAATGGCAGAAAAGTGATCCATACCAGAGAAAGTGGCATGTTCCAAAGTTTCCTTACTGCCAGACTTCTTCACCAAATCGCAAGTGTCCTTGACAGCAGCGTCAATACCCCCGGGACGAACGACATGGTCATCTGCGCCGTTGATAACGAGCAACGGACCAGCGAAAGTCCTACGTCCCACAGCGACTCGATCAGCCCACTTCTTAGCAGTCGGATCTTTATACCAGCCCGACTTCGCGATATCGGTTGGAGTGAGATCCATTGTCACCAAGGCTAACACGGGGAAGCATCCCTTGATCTTGGCAATCACGTTGTGCCAGCGATCGTAGCCTGTAGTAGTGAAACCTGTGTAGTTGTACTTGGGGTAGATCTTAGAGATTGAGTCGATGACCGCGGATTGCGCAAGCAGGCCGGGTGATGCGATCGAGTTCTCGGTCCAGTAGGCATAGTCATCGAGGATTCTAGTCACTGGAGCTATTGAGACTGTGCCTTTGTATCCTTTGAGAGGCTTCTTGGCTTGCCTTTCTGCGAAAGCCCACTGGAGAAAGCACTCAGCGTCAGTACTTTGACGGTAGAAGACCATGCCCATAAAGCAATTGAGCATAAGGAATACGCTGCACGGAGGGAAATTAACTTACAGATGCTCCACCGCCTTGAGAGTGGCCCATAGCGACAAAAGGACCCTCAGAACTAAGAAGATCTGGGAACGCTGACCTAGCTGCTCTTACAGCAAAAGCAACGTCGTTCGCGTGAGCCGGCGCTGTGACCCAAGAATGAGGAATGTTGTCTCCATTAGGCAGCTCAGATACACCAAGACCAGCATAGTCGGGCGCAACAACTGCAATGCCCTGAAGTGCCAGAGCAAAAGGAACTTGGAAGTGGTACTGCAAAGCTCTGTAACTACTAGGTGCACAGGGCTTGAAGGTCCCAGTTGTCCCATGAGCCCAAGCAACCATCGGCAGACCCTTCTTAGCTGAGCCTGGGCCAGTTGGGAACGCAGTATAAGGCCAGAGGACATAAGCTGAAGCGGGAATGACCTTTCCATCAAGGTCCTCAGTGGTGTAGATAATTCGCGACATGGTCAGACCGCTGGGGACGACGTAGTTATCCAGGTCAGTGACATCCTCTGTCTTGAGTGCAACACCAGGAGATAGCTTGCTAGAGAAGTTTGAAGGGGTCTTGTAGAAGGAGAATGTTGGGTCAGACTGTTGCTCTGAGATCCAGGAGGATGCGTTGAGGGCCAGGGCCTGGCATGTCTTGTCACAGGTGGTAGTGTCTGGGAAGGGATTCTGTGCTACAGCGGAGGACGTAGAGAAAATAAGAAGAGCAACTGCGCTCTTAAGGCTGAATTTAAACATTGTGTTAAGATGTATGATATGTTAGACTGCCTCGTCGTCGTTCGTGAGGGGATGATCTAGGTTATATAGAAGATCGCTATGTCGTGATCACTCGACTTCACAAACAACTTATCACGATGCCACCCTACAATGACAATTGAATATTTACAAAGTGACATCCAAAAAGGCTGTAAGACCATCAATTTGGAATTGATGGTGCTATTGGGGTCCCGAACCCAAGCGGTTAGTTCGAATACGATCGAGAGCAAGGCTATCAGCCCGCCGGTAGGTCACGTAGTATCTCAAGATTTGTAATAATTAACTACATAATCTATGGGTATAATCTGCAGTATAATGCACTTACATCTCACAGTCACTTACGTATCCGCCGTTGCGTCGCTTCTTAGCCGGTACGCTCGAATACGCCGGAATACGCCAGCCATACCCACGACGTACGCCAACCAAATCCACCGCGGCAATATCTTTGATCGAGAAAGTAGTCTTTCGGAAGTTTGGCGCTTACGCCAAGATCAACCTTAATTTAACAAGATTGAGTCAGCTAATGATCTTCAAGTTAGCTGCGTATAAGCGGATAGGGCTGGTGGTGTCCGACTACGGAGGACCCTGATACGCCATGGCAAGGCTGGTGGTTAACGCAGAATCAAAGTATCTATATTTGAGTGCTTGAATATTTTGAGTATATAAACTAGTTGATGCTCTTGTTGAAGTTGATCCGATCAAGCAACAATCGCTCAACATCCTCACACATCCTACTCCCAATAACACAACAACCTTCGCATCTTCGCATTCGCTGAACAATCCTAATCGCAATATCATCAAAATGTTCTCCAACGCCATTATCTACGCTACTGCTGCTCTCTTGGCATGCTCGTCCTTCGTGGCTGCAGCTCCTCAGGGCAAGACCTCAGAGGTCAGCTTGACTACCAAGCTGCGACTCGCCGACACGTGGGCCATGAACTCTGAACTCTCGAGCTACAGTAGTCCTAACTTATATATTAGCTTTGTTGATCGCTACAGTCTTCTTCCTGATGACAAGGATTTCCTCTTCAACTTCAACAGCACCCCAAGCGCTATAGCCAACAGCCAGACTTTCCCTGCTCTTACAGGCTCTGGCCTCAGTCTGGCTTCCGCTCAAATCCCAGGTATATACTCACCCTTCTCACTCTTGAACATTGCATGCTAATTGTATTCAGGCTGCTCTATGATCATGCTTCACACTCACCCCCGAGCCTCTGAGCTCTTTGCCGTCATGTCCGGCCGCGTCTACACCGAAGCTGTTCCTGAAGCCGGCGTCCTCGACGCCGAAGGAAAGCCTCGCGTCATCCGCAATGAAATCAGCGCTGGCCAAGCCACCATCTTCTACCAGGGAACTAAGCACTACCAAGTAAACCCCGACTGCGAGCCCGCCAGTGCCATCGCTGCATTCCCCTCCGAGGATATTGGCTTTGCTGGTGTTGCGCCTGGGCTGTTCTCCATCAAGGATGACGCTATCATTCGTCTTTTGGGAGAGGCTGTTGATGGTGAGGATATTGAGAAGATCAGGGCTTCTATTCCCATGGATATGGGCATCAAGGTTGATGAGTGTCTCGCCAAGTGCGGTAAGCAGAAGCGCCAGGCTTGAGGATGGGGCCTTAACTGCGGTTAACCTTTGAACTTCTGCTTGAGTATTTCTTTCTTTTACTATGTTTCAATTGCGAGATATAGAGTTTAAGGTAGTTAGATTAGTTGGGTATAGATTTCTCCTGGATCTCTTCTGCAATCATGATCCGAGTCCCTGATTGGCCTATGATCTGATCATGCCAGGTGAACACCGATCTTATCAGATCTGGCAACGTCATGATAATGTAATCTGAACGGGCATTCCTTGCTTTGGGGGTTTGGCTGCGCCCAGTCATGCCACCAATGGTAAACCCGGTGTGAGCACCAGCCCAGCCACATTCCTTCGCTTGGTAAAACAGTTAAATCCACCAGAAGTCTTGCTTTGACAGAATCCTATCCCCTAATAATTCCCGTGTACCAAGACCTCGATCTTAGCTCGAAAACCTACTCTAGTTTCATGACTGTGACACTTTAAAGACCCCGTATGTATCCGAAGAATAAGATGTTTCGTTGGAACGACCTGACATCAAATGGCTTTTAGGATCAGCAATGGCAAAGAAAGACAAGAAAGATCTGCCAAAGACAGCCCAGCAGGATAAAAAGGCAAGACAAGAGTTAAATACTGCATCATACAATGTCTGGACATTGATTCTGCAAGTGCTCTGCTGTGGCTTGATAACAGGGGGAGCAAGCTAGAAAAAGGGAACAAATTTATTAATTTGAGCCTTTTATTTCGCAAAAGACCGCGTTGCCAAAGATCCGGAGGTTAATTTGAGCCAAGGTCAACGCCATTCAAGACCCGGGCAAGGCATCGCTAGCCTCTTCCGCTACGTTATTCTGAACAATAACTATTCTAATAATGTTTTATATCCGTTCAATGACATTTTAACAGATCACCATTGGTCAGTGAAGTCTAAATTAACCCTGGTGAACTTTCGTGCACGATGTAACCACCAACAACATCTGCTCTCAATTGAAGCCAAGAAACCATGCACTTTCGCGACAAAACGATGAGCGGAACAATGAACCTCCCGTCATATCATATCAATGCATTTATGTCGCGCCGCTTTCTTCAGAGTCGGCTCAACTCTGCCCCGATTCTCCAGAGACGAAGCCGAAACCATCCCCAAAACTGACGCTGGGCTTTAACAAGACGGGTAGAACCGGACTCAGGCCAGCTAAAGGACATGCCACGCTAGGTCAGCTGGCCCACGCATCAATCACGAGTTTTCGCATTTGATACGATGAGTCAATTCGCTATTAGTGTTAAATAGAGGGAAATGTCTCGATCATGCGATTAAGTCATTGCTGATCATCATTGCGTCTCTAATACGATGGCACTACAAGGCCTAACTCGGAAGATACTGGCAACGTCACTCGTTGCTGTAGTCACTGCTGGCGGTGTCTATGGCTACTCGATCCAGAAACGCGTATCCAAAGTTGATCGGAATTTGATAACGCGGTTCAAGACCGTTCCAGAGAAATTCCAGAAGTCAAGATCTGTTAGCGAGGTTGTCAACGCGAAACAGCACATATACGACTCTGACTCTCGATACATCACGCTCGACATACCGCCTCAACATCGTGATGTATCTGATGAAGTTCTATTGGCAAAGTTCGTCAAAGGATATTTTGGAGGCGCTGTGATTAGACCGGAACGAGTTGCTCTTTCAACTCTTGGTATGACACTTGTCAACTTTTCAAGTGAGTCTTTCCTTTGCCTCAGTGCGATTGTTTTGTTAACGAAATAAATAGAATCAGGACCAGCCCCAAGAAAGCTGTGGTCTTGCACAGAACTTCCTGAAGTTTCATTACCTCCAGTCAACACCATCCTATATGGAGTCTTTCAAGTTCTTGAGACTGGGATTGGTGCTCAAGTTGCGCCAAACCGCACCGAGAGCCACATCGACTTTGGTTTTGGAAGTGACAGTGATGTGTTTGCTGGAGTCCACAGATTCGTGGTTGTGAGGACGAAGCAAGAGAGGAGTGAAGAGAAAGTGCAGATTCACTATGAGTCCATGACTTGCAACCCTATGCAGAACAAGCCTCTGAGGCCACGGATCTTGTTCAAATTTCATGAATTCTACGCAGACTTGTTGTTTAGGGATGCAATATCCGAGATCAAACAGTGGATGGGCCAGTCTTGATATGTTGGACGGCGGAAAGGATTATCTCTTCTCTATAACCTTGTTTTACTAGCATAAAGTACCATTGAGCCTATTGCTCGACTATGCAACCCATTGAACCTCTTCCACAAGTGCCCTGACCACAGAGGAAAGTCATGTTTGGGTCAGAGGGTCTTCGGCCTATCTGGTGGCGGCTCGAGAAAAGTACACTGTATTACGAGCCACGCCAGTAACATAACCAATCCTAGAACGAAGACCTGGCTCTTAAAAGGCGCAGGAGTACTTTCAAGGGTACCCCAAACGAAGAGAAGTGCCCCGTTCAAGAAGGAGAGAAATGACAAGACAGCTAAGTTACACTTAGCTGAAGCCAACTTCTCAATGGACTGCGAACCGTCGTAGTTAGGAAGAAAACGGCCACTAAAATGTGGCAGAGTCATCAGGAGGCTTAGATGTACCAAGGAAGCGTAGAAAAAGACTGTCACGAGGTCAGACATGTGAAAGGCTTCAGTGTCAAAAGTACTCACCTTTGGTAAAGTCTTCACTGTATATAGACAGCATGGCGCCCTTCGAGAATTCTAACTATGGAAGGTAGGTAATTGCAGTCCAGAAGGGTAAGCTTCAGGCTATAAATATACGTAACGAGACCTCGATACTGACAAGGTGTCATCCTTGGCAAGGCAAATAAGTCTGCCTATAGTAGCTTGACCTACGGTCTTCTTGCTGCGCCTTTTGTTGCTGTGCCTCTTTTTGCTGTGTCTTTTCTTACTATAAATATCTCTTCTTAAATCTATCTCAAGTGCCTAAAGAGATTATTTTCTTATTTTAATATAGATATATTTTTTATAAAAAATAATTAAATATTTTTTTTTAAAAGAAATATTAAATTTAATAACTATAAAGTAATATTTAATATTTAATAAACCTTTTTTTAATAATAAAAATATTTAATTATATATAAATTAAAAAACTTAATTTTTTAAAATTTAAAATCTATTTTTAATTTTATAAAAGATTTATTATAATAGAAAAGTTTATTATTAAATTCTAAAACTACCTTACTAAAAGCTTTCCTTCCTATCTCATCAAGTTACCATACATCGTTTAAGCACTAACTGCAACAGGCACTGGCCCTTCAGGCAGCTTACTACCAGCAATGTTACACTGTCGGAACAATCTAACCTCGTCTTCCGCAAAAGCACCAACCACTGAATGGATCACTCCTCGGTTGTGAAAGAGAACAAGATCTCCTTGCTCCCAATCATGAGGATAGACCTTTTCAGGAGCAATGCCAGGGCGCTGAAGTTCGTGGACTCGCTCCCGAACAGCAGTAAGATCACCGATCACCGTTCCGTCCGCGATGTGCAGCTTTCGCACGGCAGAGGGATGGACCTGGAGTGCTAAGCGGCCTGTGGCAGGGTTACGCCAGCACATAGGAAGGATCTGGATCTTATCCTCCTCAACAGGTGGAAGATCCTCGACAGGAATCTCTTTGCCTTCAGATACTAAGCCCAGACCATCGGAGCGGGACTTTGCACCACTCATCCAAACATATGGATGCGGAGCGTATTCAACCTTTGTGGTACGCACAAACTCCTTATCCTCAGGCGAAAGCCGGTCGTACATGGCGTAACCCGACACAAAGGCCGTAGTACCAAGCGGGACGGTCAACTCCTCATTGGATCCATCGTCATAGACGAGGGTCTGTTTGCGACCTCCTGGAACACGAACGGCGAGGAGTGAAGTCACCACTGGGGGAGCAAGGCCGTACAGAGCGGCGTCGATGTGCCATCTGTAGAACCTGGTGAAGTCCAGATCCTTCTCATCTGGGATAGTGGTGGCGTGGAATGTGCGATGGTGAGGATGTCGGAGCTGAATGTTCTTCAGTCCTTCGTACTCCTCGACAAAGCCATTTCCGATGACCTGCACCTGGGGTTGATGAGGGATGGTCTTGAGGTCAGGATGGAGGATTGAGCGCTTTGCGTCAATGGTCTTTCCATGGCCATAAGAGCCCGCAGCCTCGGGATCGAAGAGCTGGGTGATCTCATACTGGGCCTTGGGGGAAAGATGGTTCTGGTTCTTGAAGACGAGAACTTGGTGGGTGAAGAGTGCTTCACGGATTACGTCAAAGTCGGCATCTGGAAACAGTCAGCCTGGGCTCATTGTTGATGAGAGATGTGTCTTACCAGAGGAGGTTACCGATTTTACGGGTATTCTCCCACTATGATTGTTTCAATCATTCACGAATATGCTAATGATATCTTACCACTGATGTTTTCAACGTCAACGTTTGAGACGATGGCGCCAAAGTCAATGCTTGACTCGGCGGGGGTAGAGATGGGAGTGACTGTTATTTGAGAGGCCATTGCGGTGATCTGGTTTAAAGAATTCTTGTAGCAAGTCTTTGGCAAATACTGGTATTTAATCTGTTGCTCCAGCGAAGTCGAGGGGATTTCTTTGTCTTTTATATCGCTATCTGAGCTCCGTCGTCAGAGCGGGTCGCGGCGGTCGCCTATCTCTCTTATCTGCTCCGAGGATAAATCCGCTTTCGTTATCTCTCCGTACTCCGTAGCAAGTTACACAGTCGATAGTAATCTTATCACCGAGTTTGCTTATCATAGGACTTCTATTGTGCTTCTCCGATCTTAGAATGATGTGGCAAACAATTGAGGTTCTGTAAATTCCGTTGATATCTCAACGAGATAGAACAAGGTCGCCCGCCAGAAAGAAAGCGCTTTCGCACATGCATACAAGCTGAACAAATGTATCTCGTTGGCCGCACATTTGATGCAATGATCAAGCTCATGAAGTTGAATTTCACCAGTCGCTCAGACGGTAATCGCCGTGATCATGGATATTATAAAGGTGTTCTTTCTTTCTGCATTAAGTGCTTTAAAATTACGAACAATAAAGAAGTAATCTTGAATATACGTCTTCTTTCAATGCATACCTTGCATGAGAACTCTGGAGCATGAAAGAATAACATACCTGTTGAGCAACTGAACATACTGTCGGGCTCTTTTTTCTTTGTGGTACTGGATTCAGGTTCAACCACCAATCCTTTGAACAGAGGCAAATTAAATAGGTTAGCTGCGTGATGAAGGTCGTGATCTCTCAGTGACTGGCTGAAAGTGGCATATGTGCGTAAGTAATTCAATAGCCCAGAGATTAGTATAAGATAACCATATAAAAATCGTGATCTTTTTGAATTCTGAAAGGCGACCATCGTCGAGAAATAACTACAAGGTCCTACACCATGTCTTCTTCAGTAGCAGAACGCAGACAGCCTAATGCCTTCACCAGCTTTCCCAAGCTACCACCAGAACTGCGACTCATGATATGGGAACTGGCTCTTGATCGACCTCACCATACAGTCCACGTGTACCCTTTCGAAGATGACACTGGCCCTAGACCGATTAGTAGGCTGACACTTAATTTCATCCTCGAGAGAGAGTATGATTTGTGCATGAGGCATAAAGGTGACATGGTAAGTGAGCACCATGAAAGAGGAAGAGATAGGGGCATGTGGAGGGCATGTACAGAGTCCAGACAAGTCATGAAAAAGAGCACCAGGGGACCAATCGAATCATATTTCGATAATCCCCTCACAGCTCGACTAACCAGTATCTTGAATGCGGACATCATACATCTCGTGCGTATCCCATACCCCCTGGACGAAATCGTGACCATGGGCGTCAACCCTGGCGGGTGGAAGAATGACGCTCCGGGACAGGGAAACCAGCATGTGCGCTATCTCATCCCGGACGGGTATCGTACTAGATTCCACATTGCTGCCTGCGAGTACGTATAGGAGTATGACAGATGGTATGAGGTTAGAGAACGGCGGGGGACTTGGGCGTGTTGGAGGGCATATTTTGAGTCAGGAGCAGTAAATACAAGTAAGTAGACGAGCCCGAAATGACATATCGCTTGGCAGAATACATGGGTCATGTCGCACATTGCACTGTTGAGACAGTAAAACCGAGCTTGAAATATAAAGTGTTTTGTAGCTCTCTACCCTACTAGGTAATGTACCAGCTATTCGCTCCAGATGAAGGGCTCAATTCCGCTGCTGTAGAGATGCGGCTTATCCCGAGATGGGAGCTGGAACACACAGTGACCATATTCGGAGGCTCGTTTCAATTACCACTGAAACGCCCAAGCTCTCTAAACAGATAAGATAGGATAGTGAGTCCCATCGGATAATAAACTCGAGCTGTCAGAAGATAAATCTGATCTGATTGTGACTAACAATCCCGAAGCCACATCAACGGCAATTGTCCGTCCAAGCAATGGCGCAATCGCAACCTCCATCCCCTTTAGGAAATTCCAAGGGCTAATCAACACCGCGATTATCTCTCTTGAACCTAGAAACCGTGTAAGCCTCAATTGGCACCACCTCAATTAACAAAATCCCCAGATTCGTAGCACTCGCAAATAACGTCATCCCCAATTCGAGGTCCTGATTGGCTAGTTTCGCCGTTGACATGCTTAGCCTGTTTCGTTGATGGTGGGAGTACGACTCCGTGATATTGCAGCTCGAGCACGCAATACACCAACAAAGGCGTCATTACACTGCGGGGGCCGGTAACGGATGGTACCTGGGGAAAAGGGTATATATAAGATGATTGCCGAGGATAGCATTTGATGTCAATTAACTCACTACTCAAATTGGAATTGCTGTCTTGTCTTTATAGCGTCCTCTTACATCAATTACATACAATGGCTCCAGGTGCTCTCATCGACGAGTCTTCTCAGACTCCTCTCCCCCAAGTCAAGAACGCAGATGCCCCTCGTTCAATCTTCCCCGATGGCATCCGTACCTCGGGTCAACATCCTCCTCTTTATGACGCATTAAAGCCATACTCTGAATTCCCAAAGGAGATCACAGGCCCTACGCTGTGGAAGAAGGAGGACTATGAGAACTCACCTGAGCGATGGACTCATCCTTTCACCGATGAGGAGATTCAAGAGTTGAGCGATACCGCTGATGCCTTCATTGCCAGTGGCACTCCCCTCACTGGTATCTCCAAGGTATGATGGCAGTATCACAAGACAGTTTTCAAAACTAACATGTTCAGTCAAACTTCCCTCTCCCAAAGTTGGGTAAAGTCCTTGAGATTCTTCGAGAAGACCTTCTCAACGGCAAGGGTTTCATTCTTTTCAAACGCTTCCCAGCTGGAGAATGGGGTCCTCTTAAGAACGCAGTAGCCTACATGGGTCTCGGTACATACATCGGTTACTTTGTCTCCCAAAACGGCCTGGGCCATGTCCTCGGCCACGTCAAGGATGTTGGTGATGACGCTACACAAATCGACCGCGTTCGTATCTACCGCACAACAGCTCGTCAGTACTTTCATGCCGATGACTCTGATATCGTCGGTCTTCTCTGTGTCCACCGTGCCAAGGAAGGTGGCGAGAGTGATATTGTCAGCATTCACAATGTCTGGAACGATCTTCAGAAGAACAACCCCGATGTTGCTGAGCTTCTGACACAACCAATCTGGTACTTTGACCGCAAGGGCGAGACATCAGTTGGTGAGGAGGAATGGATCCGAAACCCCATCTTCTACATCGAGAACGGTGGCCAGGGTCGAGTTTACTGCAAGTGGGATCCCTACTTTGTGAGATCTCTCACAAGATTCTCCGACAAGGGTCTTATTCCTGCTCTGAGTGAGGAGCAGAAGCATGCTATGACTGTGCTGGAGGAGACTTGCCAGAAGTTGGCTTTGCATATGATTCTTGAGGTTGGAGATATTCAGTTCGTTAGCAACACACATCTCCTCCATGCACGAACAGCATACACAGGTAAGATACCCCATTCAACAATCATGCCAGGTATGTGAGTACTGACATCTTATAGATCATCTTCCTCCCGTTCCTCGAAGACATCTTCTTCGACTATGGCTCTCTACTCCCGAGACTGAAGGCGGATGGGCCCTTCCTTTCCATGATAGCAAGGAGAAGAAGAGAGGAGGTATTCAGGTCAACAACACTGCACCAAGATGCCCTCTAGATGCAGAGTAAAAGTACTTTTTGATATATTAGCGATCATCATTTCACAAGAATTAGCATATAAGAATAATAACAGTTAAAGACAATGATGCCCGTGAGAATGTGATTACTCTATGCCTCTCTCCCCTACCTTGTTCAAGTCTTGATTTGTTTGCTTGATATTTCTGCGGGATATGAGGCTCATCGAACCAAGTTCAAAACACATCGTTCTTATCAACCAGTATTCGTTTGTCTATGTGCAAAGACATCCCATTTAATTCATTATCAACTCTATTCCAATCTAAACCGTTGAGGTTACATGAAGATCTATGCTTTACCCTCTAAAGCAACCACGTCAAAGGCCTCATGAAAAAAGCGATCAAAAGAACAATAACAACTGGCAAGTACGCAATCATTTTAGACCAGTCAACATCCTCTATCAAGTCCTCCACACCTGGAGAAACCAAGTTGAAAGGGAATTGGGGAGGATACAGCTTCCTTCGTCGTCGTCCCGTCTCAAGAAGATGCTGGGCTTCATTCTCGATAGCCACGATAATGCTGTGGTACCCAGCCAAACTGCTACGCACGTATAGCGTCTGACGAGGCTTGTCATACGTCCATTCCACGTTCGTTCCGTGGACACGTAGCTTGTGTGCGTCGTAGTGATACCCCGGGATGAAGATCTCAGTGAGGTGAGCCTTCTCATCGGCAGGTTCTTTGTTCGCTGTGCTGGTCCACTCATATTCGAAGCGCAGTGATTTATGGTTCCAGTTGGACCTTTTGGGAATACCGGCTGTCTTCACAGCATATGGTCTGATGATCACGTCGAGGATACGACCACCTTTGTAGAGCTCGTCATGCTCGTGGAGATGATTCCGGTAGTCAGGTCGTACGGGGCCATTCTCGCTGACCTCGTCGCCATTGATGACAGAGAAATCCTCATTGTTCCACCCGTCACCGTACTCAACTCTGTTATTTGGGTTGTAGTTCCACAGTGTGTAGTTGAGCTTGTTGTCCTCCATGGCGGAGATCAAGCCGTTCATCAAATGGCGTTGCGTGTCGTAGCACCCCGTGCGGAAAGCTTCTGCCTTGTTGATGTCGTACGAGAGACCAATCTCGCCAATGACCATGGGAACTTTACCCAAGGATTTCTTCCCATAGTTGACGATGTTGCCCAGCTGCCTTCTGTAGTTGTGTCGAAGTCCCGCGACGCCAAAGTAGAGCGCGTTGAGGACAAACGTGCCTCGCGTGAGACCTTGGACATTGACGCTCATCCACGAATGACTCTTGTTAAAAAGGACATTGAGATCGTAGAAATGAGGCGCATACACAAAGTTCTGTGGGCGTGGAGCCTTGATCACTTCCTTCTCGGCATACTTCTGCTGAAGCCATTTCTTGTTATCAGGATCCTGCGTCGGCCAAGGCGGAATGAACTCATTGGGGATCGGTTCAATGAAGCTAAACTGCTTCGCCTTCTTGCGCGACACACGCTCTGTAAACTTCTGTAGAAAAGGCGCATAGCAGTCGTTGTACCACTCAATAGGCTTTCCCTCACGACCTGGTCGGTGATCAACTTCAAAGTAATCATCGTCGCGAATGCGTGCTGTCTTCTTCTTTTCGTCCCACTCCCAGACGCCATGGGCGCGCCACAGGCATTCACCCATTCCCCGACCGTGGCCGATAGGTTGGTCTTTGAGGGACAACCATGCAGAGCGACCTTTGGGGTCAATACGAGACTTATGGGATACACGAGTTGGCCATGGCCATGATTTGACATAATAATCGACATCTTGGGTATAGCCACTTCCAAGGGCGAGAGCTTGTGCGAGGGACGGGCAGTGGCCGATGTGTAAGTCGGTGTCGTAGTTCCAGAAGTGAAAATGATGAAGGTTGACGAGGCCGCGATGGGGTTCATTCATAGGTTCAAAGCCAATGCATGCTTCGAGATGACTGACTTCATCTGCGAGGCGACCGAAGGCTTCGACGCAGGCGTCTTGGAGGAATTGTTGTGCTGATACTTCATCGCCGGCGTCCTTTTTGCGACGACATTTGAGATTGGGAGCTAAAGCATCACCAGCCCAAAAGAGAGTAGCCATTGTCGACGCAGCGAGCTTCTGGTAACCTGAAGGCCACAAGAATGGACCACCTGGTTCTTTTGGATTTGGTGGCTCACTCGCCCGTTTCTTCTCATCTTGACTGTGGACGTAGGCAGCGCCTGTGTCGGTGAAGGCCTCGATATCGAGACCTACAACTTCAAACGTCCAGCCAGGTGCACCGCTTCCACCACTGTACCGACTCCAAACATCTTGATGCGCACAAACAAAGCACTTAATACCATACTCAGGCATGAGCTCAATTAATTGGCGCAGGTAGTCGATATACTCTGTATCCAGGTCCTCGGGGTCTGGTCCAGCATGGCCAATTGACTCCCAGGTAACGAGCAATCTCACAAAGGGCGCACCCCAAGCCTGCAGACGGCGAAAGTGCAGCGGCGCATCTTCCAATGGAAAAGGTCTTCCCACAAAAGTGACGATGCGATGGTTCTCATAGAAGCCATGATCCAGGTGCGACAGGCCGTTTGGCTCGGTGGGTAGTTTAGAAGCACCCGAGATGTTTAGGCCGCGAAGGGAGAGCACGCGGTTGTAGTTGTCGACGAAGTACTCGTCCTTGATACGAATTGGGCCGCCCAATGCAGCGTCCGAGAGGTCAGCTGCTGCGTGGATGGACATCTTGGGTGTGGGCGAGCGTTTGAAGCGGAGGACACGGTCGGGACACGCAAGCTGAAGAGGCAACTGGAGGTACAGTACAGGCAGCACA